GATGGCTAGCACTAAGGAAGGAACATTCATTCATGTCCACACTTTCGGTTCATGGTCTCTGTCTATTCACTAAAGTGGTTTCTGATGGCTGTGTAGCATGGCCAGAATCCACTCATTTCAGCAGTGGGTCTGTCAGATGGAACTCAGTCCTCCACCAAGTTGAGAAGCTGGAGGGAAGTGTTCGCATTTAGAATTGACACTCCACTTCTGAGTGTCAGTGGGTCAGCTGACGTACTCAGTTATCATGCGAGAGGTTTCTGGACTTAATAGCCTTTATGAACAATCACAGTAGCTTCAGTTACAGTCGGTCATGGGTGATTGGGGGCATTTGTCAAAGGTAGCATGACCCTTTCCCTGAGATAATGAGCAAGTGGGACAAATGAGTCTTATAGGGACCTTGGATTTGGTGTCTTTGCTCACACATGAAAGATATATATATATATAATAGTCCAAGGAAATCCTTTGTCATTATAATGATAGCCAGATATTGATATTTTAAAAGGCAAAGATTTTTCACAGAATAGTATGAACTGTGTGTAAAAGTAGTCTATTAGTTGTGTGGACACTTAGTTTCTGAAAGCTCCAAGACATCTTTCTATACCCGCCACCACTGGAATCCAGGGTCAAAGTAGGTCCTGATGACTGTGTAGCCTTCTGTAATCTGGAAATCTATGCGAAAGAGTTTGTGCTTGTGGAAACAATACGCAAATCTTTTCCTCTGGCTTTGAGAGTCAAATGAGTGCCCACGTCACTGCCTTCAAACCTACTCTTTGGAGGTTTGTGGAACCATTTTTGCAGCCCTGCTTTGCTCCTTTGTGAATCCAGCCTGAAGGAGCAATGGGCAAAGTTCCAAAGACTCATGTGTGGATTGGTCCGTGGTCAGCTAGGAAGGGATACGAGACTAAATAAATTCATTGAGTCAGGATACAAGCCCAGTTTTTTTCTGGAATGACTCAAAAATTCCGAATCACAAACTTCACATACTAATCAAAGTTCTTCCCAAAACATGCTTTAATAAATTTTGCTTGGATTAAAAGAAAAATTTTGTAAAATAAGTCTGGTACATAAATCCTTTGATAGGTGTTGTTTAGCTCACCCGTAGATCAAACACCCAGAGGGTATCAGATGTGTAATGTGGAATTAGGGAGACTCCCATGTAGGGCAGCTGAAGAGCAGAGACAACCCTGAAAGCCAGATACAGACTGGCCTCTGACAAACAGAGGAAGGAGGGAAGGCGGCAGGAACTGTCTTGCTGACTTTCTCAGAGTTTACCTTGCCCTTGTAGAGCCCTCAGACTGAGGACATCCCAGAAGAGTATCTGTCTTCCTGGAAAGAGCACCTCTTTATAGTCCGTGCCACCTCGGTCCTCCTTGGAGACACCTGATGGGAATTAAGTGTAGGTGGTGGTGAGTTTCCCTCTGTGCAGCCAGAGACCTGAGGAGCTCTGAGTGCCCCAGATACAGAAACTGATGACCCGCACGACACAGGCAGGACACACAGGACCAAGAGAGACAAATCCATAATGTTTGCCGTGGTCTCCGTAGGAGAGACCGTGAGTAAGCAGGGAGGTGGTCTCTTCAGTCCCCTGTCTCAATATTTCTGCATTTTAGTGTACATACATATGTGTGTATGTGTTTTCTGTGTGCATGTGTGTGTGTGCGGGTTCGTGTACTAATCTGACTCAAGAGTTCTTAAGCAAGTCTCCCCTTTTCAAAGGAATTATCTTATTTCAGAAATTCACTCCATCCAGTCTGTGTGTATGCGTGAGTGCACGCTGCCTTCCAGCAGATCCGCATGGCGTTCTCTCCTTCTCCATTATCCCCAGCCACTTCTTCTGATGAGTCCAAACTTCTCTTTGGGAAAAGGAGGGAAGGCTAGCTATAATCTCTTCATACTTCTATCTTTAGCCAAACTTGCTGCTAGCTGCTTATGACATTAAAAAGAAACGACTAGTACACACATTCAGACGTGTCCTGGGCTTTCCCCTTGAGGCTTTATTCTCCCATCAGAAGTCTGCTGTCAATGAGGCGTATCCAGTGAGGTCTGCTGACAGATACTTGAGCCGCTCTGAGGAACTACCTGCTCCTCAAGCTCACACTTAAAGGCCGAGGGCCATACTGTAAAATTTCTGATAGTTCACAAAGTTAGGCAGGAAAATAAGTGCATACATACTCAGTTAGGATTTTTATTGCTTTGGCAAAACGCCATGACCAAAAAACAAGTTGGGGAGGAAAGGGTCTGTTTGGCTTATGCTTCTGTATTGTTGTTAATCATTGAAAGAAGTCAGGGCAGGAACTCCAACAGGGTAGGAACTTGGAGGCAGGAGCTGCTGCAGAGGCCACAGGAGGGGCGCTGCTTACTGGTTTGCTTCCCGTGATTTGCTCAGCCTGCTTTCTTATAAAATCCAGGGCCATCAGTTCAGGGATGGCACTACCCACCACAGGCTGGGCCCTCAGTGTTCATAGCAGCATTATTTGTAATAGCCAGAACCTGGAAACAACCTAGATGCCCCTCAGTTGAAGAATGGATAACGAAAGTGTGGCACATTTACACATTAGAGTACTACTCAGCGGTAAAAGAACAATGGTATCTTGAATTTTGCATGCAAATGGATAGAATTAGAAAACACTACCCTGAGTAAGCTAACCCAGACCCCCCAAAATGAATATGGTATGTACTCATTCATAAGTAGATACTAGTTATAAACAAAGGAGATTGAGCCTATAGTTCATGATCCTAGAGAAGCTAAGTAATAAGTAAGGCTTTTCTTAGACTATGGCTAAAAGAAGGCTTGGTTTTCAATGTACTTTGCTTATTCATGGTAAGACTCCAATCTAGAGATGACTTTGGCATGACTGGTCAGAGATGGCTCAGTGATTCAGAGCACATACTATTCTTCAGAGGATCTAAATTTGGTTTCCAGCACCCTCATTGTTTCACTCTTACACACACATACACACACATGCACGCACGCACGCACACACACATGCACACATACACATGCACTTGCTCACCTGTAACTCCAGTTCCAGAAAATATGATGCCCTTTTCTGGATTCCACATGTAGTTTCACTCATACATGCACAAGTCACACTCCAAAAGACACATGTACATATAATTAATAATAAAATAAAGAAATCAGTCATTGGTAAATGACCATTAATTGCCATGATCTCCATTTGGGAAATCAACAGAGGAACTGCCTAGAAATGACCCAGAGAGTTCAGGATTGAGAAATCAACTGTAAAGGAATAGTTGATGTGCCCTACAAACCAAGGTTGAGCTGCCAGAGTCTGTAGAAGAAGCATGCAGTCTGGCAAGGCCTGTAGATATCGCCAAAGCCATAGCTCAAAGCTGCTAGGCTCCAATTTAGAATGGAGGTGGTCTGGTCTGATGGTGTATATTCCCAGCTACAAGGGAAGTAGAGGCTGGGGAATTACAAGTCTAAGGCCTATGAATTAGTTACTTTTCCTTTTGCTGCAACCAAGTACCCAACAAGATGCAACTTAAGAGAGGAGAGGTGTATTCCAGTTAAAGGCCATAGAGACATCGCAGTGGCAGGAGACCGAGGCAGTGCGACCCTCTGCTCCTGCAGCCAGGAAGCCGAGAGAGATGCGTGTTTATGCCAGGGTCCTTTCCTCTTTCTTATGCAGTCCTGAACTCACAGCCAGAGAATGGATACCTCAATCTAGACTCTCCCTCACAGGCATACACAGACATACTGGAATTACTGTTTCCATGGTAATTCTAAATCCTACTCGGTTGGCAGTGAAGATTAATCAACATGACTTGCTTGGTTATGAAATGAGTTTCAAGGCCAGATTGGCAGCTTATTAAGATCCTATCTCAAAGTACAAAATAAGAACTCAAGACACGCTAGATGAGTGCTCAGGAGTGGGGTACATGCCTAGCATGTGTGAGGTCACATGTCCCCTGTGCATCTATATAAGGAAGATTGTGAATGCAGCAGCAAGCAGGAAGCTCAGGCCTGGAGAAGCCTAGCAGTGTGCACAAGCCTGCATGGATTCTGATGTCACTGGGAAAGACGTGGATTGACCAGTGGAGAACCGAGAAGTTGGCTGAGTCAGCCAAGCTTGAACTGGCCAAGAGGTGCTGGACAAACTAAAGGCCACTTTCTGAAAGGCAAGCATGACCAGACTTGATGAAACCTTGGTGCTCTTGGTGGAGATTCTGGGCTGCAGAGTGGGTAGAAGGTCTTCAGAGAAAAAGACTGGACCCAGAGAAGAAGGTTGAGCTAGGTTCACAGAGAATGTGCCCGGAGGGTTAAACCCAAGCACGTGGCCCATGCTAGGACTTTTACAGAAAGTTTCTTAGGAGGCAGGAGCCACAAGGCTGTGGAGGAATTGTTTTCTGGGCATGTGCCTCAGGCAGGCTCCACCGGAAGTCATCATATGCACATGTCTGACTTCTCCCCAGGGACCTAAAGAACATCCAAGAAGCCCCTTTCCCCTGTAGCATCCCTTCTGCACCCTGTTGAGGGAGTTTAACCTTGTTCTTACTTGAAAGAGAAAACTAAAAGGAATCGCAGGGTTTATGATACAGCTAGGAAGTGAATGCCCAAAGCAGGGAGGCAATACACTAACCAAAACAGGAATTTCAGCAGGGAGACTGTCACACAGAGAGTGATTATTATTAATTATTATTATTATCATCACTTTCCATCACGTTCTTGTGCATGGGGTGAAATATATAATTCAATATGTGTGTACAATATGTAATAATCAGATTGGGATCATTAGCATCCCCACCTCCTCAAACATTTGTCGCGCACTTGATTATCGAAATCCAAATACGTCCCTTTTCTTCAGTGACTCTGGATGGGTCTACAGATGTTGGAGTGCATTTAAAAACTGGGTGGCTGTGTTAATATTTGTGCCGTTTACTCTTGTTCTCTGTTTAATGGCACGCCGAGTTGAGAGAGTCCACGTGGAACAGGTTCTAACGCCTATTTCCCATTTCTCTCATTTGTGTTTTCCCAGGTCTTATACAACATACTAATCGCCTTCACGAAGATGCATAAATTTGAGGACATAGAACCTGTGGACATTCTGGCTGGGTGTGCCAGATTTGTCATCGTGGGCTGTGGGGGAGTGTTTTTCGGCATCATTTTTGGGTTCATCTCGGCTTTTATCACGCGCTTCACCCAGAATATCTCTGCCATTGAGCCGCTCATTGTGTTCATGTTCAGCTATCTGTCTTACTTAGCCGCCGAGACCCTTTATCTCTCCGGCATCCTGGCGTGAGTACACTCGGTGGAAGGAGACCCAGGGAAATAGGCGGATGATTTAGGAGCTGCGTGGCCTGTGTTTCTGGGAAAGGCCCGAGGCTAGTCCCCTGAGGCACTGCAGAGTTTAGGATTTCTTGCATTTCTGAAAGCTGACTCCGGTCCTTTGCCAAACAAATGTTCTCTGCGACAGTTGCCCGAGGAACGTCTAGCAATCCGACTGTCAATTTAAAACATTCGGGAAAGCTGGTGCGAGGAAGAGTTGGAACAGTTCAAGCTTCAAGGCCATCTGAGCCACTTTTCTTCCTCAAAGAATTAATTTTAGAACCAGGCGTGGTGGAGCACACTTTCAATCCCAGCACTCAGTATGCAGAGGCAGGTGGAGCTCTATGAGTTTGAGGCCAGCTTGCTCTACATAGTGAGTTCAGGACAGCCAGGAGAGACCCTGTCTCAATAAATAAATCAATCAATAAACAAACAAGTAAATAAATAATGATAGTGATAACAACAACAATAGTAATAATTTTAAAATAGATGGAAGACATGCCATAAGAAACTTCCACTCTGGACGCTGCTGTAGCTGCTCCGCTCCAACCCTATGCTAAGTCACACTTCCCCTCCCGCTCCCCCCACCCCCGAAAGAGTAAAGCTGGGTAGGTGGGCTATGCGCTGATGTTCAGTTGTTTGTCCTAATGAAGACATTTGTTTAGGTGCACATCCCCATATCCTTGGAATGTGTCTCCTAGAATGAGGCTTCTCAGTTTGGCTTCTTACACCTGGTCTCCGTCCAGGAAGGAAGCTTTAACTGTGTTATATAAAAATCCCTATGCCCATTAAATATAATAATATGGACTTTAGGTACCGTTGTTTTCGCACCTCAAAATGACCACAACTTTGCGGACAAGAAAAGGGCTTTCTTTACTCTATCCTAGGTAAATGGCTCCAGAAAAGAAGCATTTGAAATATTTAAATAACGTTACTATAAGAAACACCATTTGGGAGCTGGATGGAGTATGTATGTATGGCAGCACACAGGAGACAGGGGCAAGGAGAAAGTTTAGTTAAAAAAGAGAGCATACTGAGTGTTCAATCTGTTGAACTGAAGTAGGTTTAATTTGGTGTAAGGTGGAGTCAAGTCTCCTCTAGCAAGGGTTGGGACTAAACAAGCTCTCTGTGAGCGAAAGGAGGTCCTAATGCATTTTGCTTCTGATTTTCCTGAGTGAACGACTTATCAGTGTGTGTGTGTGTGTGTGTGTGTGTGTGAGAGAGAGAGAGAGAGAGAGAGAGAGAGAGTTGTGTGAAGGGCATGTCACACCCATCTTCCTACCACACTTGCTTTTTCCTATACCTGGTTGAAGAGGAAGGCACCAAATCTGTGGTGCACAATCAGAGACCGACAGGCCCAAAGACAGGATGAGACACAGATTCTAGATAGAGGTGGGCTTCCTGTATGTAACGCCTTGCTTTCAGCAGGTACCCTCTGTGGTGTGGCGGTACTGCTTCTCCCTGAGTCTCTGCTTCTTTCGTAGAATCACAGCCTGTGCGGTGACAATGAAAAAGTACGTGGAGGAGAACGTGTCCCAGACGTCCTACACGACCATCAAGTACTTCATGAAGATGCTGAGCAGCGTGAGCGAGACCTTAATCTTCATCTTCATGGGCGTGTCCACCATCGGCAAGAACCATGAGTGGAATTGGGCATTCATCTGCTTCACACTGGTCTTCTGCCAGATCTGGAGAGCCATCAGTAAGGGACACCAGGCCTCCCAAACTCTCCTGCCCTGCTTCCTCCCCATGTTAAACCAGAAGGAGGGAGCCCGTGCTATGATTTTCCTGCACAGGGAAGTGTAGACAGCTCATCCTTGCTTACCAGAAACATTGGATTTGCCCTCCTCAGACAACCCAGAGCCACCAGCTGGATAGAGGTTCTCCTCAGAAGCGAGGATGGAGCAGGAATTATTTTATGTTTTGTCGAGAGAGAGCACTTTCACAAATACACATTTAAAAATAACTCAGTAAATATATCTGTTGCTTCGCTTCCTTGCCAGCTTTGTAGCCTCTTGGATGTTAACTCAGATATAGATGATAAACTGTGGGCATTTACACTTCTGATACAGGAAAAGTGAGATCTCACAAACTGTATTCTATGTAAGACCAACACAGCCAGGACGCATTTGCATAAAGAGTGCAGCTGATCTAAGGCACGGGCGAGTGATGGCTATAAAGCCCACAAAGGATCAAAGAGTGAATTACTATTTTTAAAGTGCTCATTTTGGGTGACTGGGGAGATTGTCCCATCAGTAATGTGCTTGCTGTTCTAGAATGAGGGCCCCAGAACCCTCACGAAAACCAGGAATTGCTACCTAGGCCTCGGATTCCAGGGCAGGGGGCGGGGCATTGGAGAGGGAGGCAGGAAGATCCCTGGGGCTTGTTTGTGGTCAGCCAGGCCAGTCAATTAGTGAGTTTCAGTTTCAGCATAAGTCTCCATCTCAAAAATAATGCAGAGAAGAGATTAAGAGATTAAGGAAGACAATGACCTCTTCCCACCCCCACTTCTAGCCTCTGTGTATAAACACACACACACACACACACACACACACACACACACGCACGCACGCACGCACGCACGCACACACACACACACACACGCAGAAGGTAAGCACTCTTAATTATAGCATTAATTAGTAAAGACAGCAATACTATAAATAACCTCACTTTTGGAAATAATTCCTATTATAAGGAATATGATCTAGTGGTTACTATACACTTATATTTCAACAGACAGAGTAATATAACTCATTAGCACTGACTGACATTATCTATGCTGGCCTTTTATTAGAAGATTATAAATGATTCTACAAAGGGAGCAGAGGCTGAGACAGAGACAAGTATTTTCTATACCATCGAAGCAAGGTTGTATGTATAAGAAGCCCATCTCTAATACATATTACTTATAATATAGTTGAGATAGGATCTTACTGTGTGGTTCTGGCTAGTCTGAAACTCACTATATTGATCAGTTTGGCTTTAGAATTGTTGAGATTAATCCACTGATATGTGCTGAGTTGTGGAGTTAAAGCAAGTTGTGTACCACCAGATCTATAGATATTTGTGTGTGTGTGTGTGTGTGTGAGAGAGAGAGAGAGAGGGAGAGAGAAAGAGATATAGAGAGACAGAGAGATTATTTTAGAAATTATATTTTAAACAGTTTTACCACTTGTTTTCAGTCAATTTTTAATATATATTAAAATTAATTTATAATAGCTCTGGGGTTGCAAAGAGAAAGACAAGAGGGCTTGGATGACTCAGCTGTTAAAAACCCTGTCGGCTCTTCTCGAGGACCTGGGTGTGAGGTCCAGCATCCACATGATTGCTCACAGCCTTCGGTTACTCCAGTTCCAGTGGATCTAATGTTCCATGGACACTGCACACATGTTTTGCACATGCATACATATATGAAGGCAAAACACCTTTACATATAAAATAAAATAAATTTTTTTAAAATGATAAGAATATAGAAACGTTAACACAATGCTAAGAGTAGCTGAATATATGCTAATTTTTGGTGGAAAAATCAAGGCTGTTGTGATATAAACTTAAAATCTCACATCAAATTTGGTGTGATTTCTGACTCACTATTTGGAGGTGGACAGACATTTATCTATTTAAAGTCCTGTTCTTCAGCCTAAAAATAACAGGTTTGGATAAAATTATCAATCCCTTCCTGTTATGATATTCTCCCGATCTACAGGGAAGCAGTACTAATGTCAAGAGAAGTGAAGTGAGAAAGAGTCAGCCAAGCAAACAGGAAAACGAGCCATCTGGATGGAGGGGTTCTGTTACCCTGAGGGATCATCCAGCCCCTCATTGTAATCCTCTAATAGAGAACTGATGAACCAAAGTTGAGAGCATGGCTGGCTTGGGCAGGCCACCATGGCTCTAAGAGCAAGGTTGAGAATACAGATCACTGCCTGTTCTCTCTCCTTCCCAACTCATTATCTCTAATCATAGTTAATGATTACGAAGGCTTATGTCTAAGAGGCAATGTTTTCTGTTATGTATCAGAAAGGTGTTTGTTTAACGTTTGATCTGTGTGCTTAGGTAAGTATACTCAGTTTTCTGTATCTGTTGGCTCTGAAGATGTTTTTTCAATCAACCACAGAGCCATCATTTTGAGGAAAGAAATGCAACTGTATTGCATACGTGCAGGCTTTGTTTCTTGTTACCATTTCCTAGACAATACAGCGTAGCAACCATGTTGTAAGCAATCTAGAGACAACTGCAAGTATCCAAGAGAATGTGAACAGGCTACACCCAAACACTTGATGTAATAGAAAGGGACTTAGGTATTCACGGACATGGGCATCGGTGAGAGCCCTGTGCCCTGTCTCTTGCAGAAACTGAGAGCTGACTGTGCTCTTGTTGTCTCTGGTATCTGATGATAGGGATTGATGTGGGACTTTGCCCAAGGCCACATGGCTAGCAGGTGAAGAGAAGCACAAATAGACCCACCAACAAAACCCCATAAGTTCTGTTGGCCCTTATAGTCTGATATACCTGATATAAAAAATGCTTTCTGTGAGATATGGGGGTAGGAGCACATGGGGACATAAAGAGATGACACTTTTGAAAGACTCCCTCAAAGCCTTAGCAGATGATAAAAGCCTTGCTTGCCAAGAACCAGTAGGTAGTAGCGGCTTTCCTGTGAAAGAAATGGCCACGGGGAATCTGCACGGTGGAAACCACTTCTATGCCTTGCATGAACTCTCCTGCCCTCCAACCTCCATTTACTACTACACACACCGACAGTCAGAAGCATCCCATGCCCACCCCCAACCCTAAACTCTTGCGTACTACTTCCTCACTTGTTTACCTGAACTTCAGGCACCAAGTCTGCCCATCATGTATAGTACACGGTCACTGAGTGGTCTCCCCTCACCTTCAAACTGCAGACTTCTTGGAGGTGTCCCCTGAGAACATGAGATAAGAGGTTTTCATTCCACGGACATCATTAACTGGCTTTAAAAAGCACACAAATGTGGATATAGATTAGAAATATATGACTTTTATTTATTTTAATTCAAATCAAGATTTTTATTATTTTAATATCTCTCTTTCTCTCTCTCTCTCTCTCTCTCTGTCAAACACACACACACACACACAGAAAGAGGGAGGGGGCGAGAAAGAGAGAGAGAGAGAGAGAGAGAGAGAGAGAGAGAGAGAAACCAGAGAGGGGCTGTTTGGGGTGAGTGCTCTTGGGTGTGAAGATCGTCTGCCTTGCTGAGTCTCTGCATCGCGACCGCCCGAGTCCTGCTGCTCTAATACATATCTTCCCCTTTCCAGGCGTGTTTACTCTCTTCTATGTCAGTAACCAGTTCCGGACTTTTCCCTTCTCCGTCAAGGATCAGTTCATAATCTTCTACAGTGGCGTGAGAGGCGCCGGAAGCTTTTCCCTTGCGTTTCTGCTTCCTCTGTCCCTCTTTCCTAGGAAGAAATTATTTGTTACTGCTACTTTAGTCGTTACGTATTTCACTGTATTCTTTCAGGTTGGTAGACTTCTTTCATATTTTAACTGCATATGTTCCTTTGCAGCTCTATATTAAACTCATAAGATGGAAATAAAGGTGCTGTAGCTGGTGTTTAGACTTCTGGTTCACCCACTAAAGTTTAGAGTCTAAATAGATTCTAAATTACTTAGAGGCATATTCACGGTAAAGCTTTAAGTTCTAAAATACATTGTCTTTGAGCCAATAAAACATATTGATCAAGATGTTCCCAGGTAAGGCGTGAACAAGTGTTATTCTGTTTATCATGGAAAGTATGGTAACAACTGGTACTTGATAACACAATATTTTGTTTTAGCTGAAGTTATGTCTTCATGAGGTAAAGACGATTTATTTAAAGACACCAAAACACTGTATTGCAATAGACTATAACATATATTTTGTTGGAGTGTATAGAAGAACTAGGAATTAAAGTAATTTTGATTCATTTAATCCCATAGAAAATAGAAATAAACACATACAAATTGGGCATTTCATAATTTTGATGATAGAATTGTTCTCTATAGTAACATGATTTACCTCAGCAAATCCCTTGATTTTGTTATTTGTGATCCAGGGAATCACAATTGGCCCACTGGTCAGGTACCTGGATGTCAGAAAGACCAATAAAAAAGAATCCATCAATGAAGAGCTTCACATTCGGGTAAGTTAGCCCTGTCCTTTCCGATGAATTACTTCTGCTGGTTGTCTCCAGCCTCCAGGAGACTGTGTACATGTCAGGAGACTTCAACTCTTTCTTCCCAGTGCCACTGGAAAGGCCGAGACTTGTTTACTCTTGCTGGTGGGTCTCTGTGAGCTTAAGGCCAGTCCGATCTACACACAGAGAGCCTACCTCAAAAACTGTTTTATTACTATCATTAGAAGACAATAGATCAATTAAAGGTTTAAGTCACCAATTTGCATTTTTTATGTTTTCAAAATAAAACAGAAACTGTCACAAACCTGGATAATTTTTAATTATTTATAGATCTATTTATAGGATTTTAAGATTATATTGCCACCAAAATTCTTATAAATTATTACAAACAAAACAAACATGGTATAATTGACTTTTGTTTTAAACTGTAGATTTCTAGACTAAAGGATTGAATCTTAAAATGAAGATGAAGATCTTATATTGGTTTATAAGTATGAAGAGTGGGTATTTCTAACATTGCCTCCTTTACTCTCTGTCTGATGTGAAAAAATGAGGAATATGGACAAGTATGATTATTACTATAGTAGTGCATCTGAAGAATTATATTTGGGAAACTATGCAAATTAGACATGAGATTTTCTTTTCACAATGAAAATAAAAGTAGTAGTTAATCTTTATGCTTTGCATCCATATGATTTCAATAATGAGAAATTTCTAGATCTCCCTAGAAAAGTCTTATTCAAACCAAGTGCCAGGTACACTGTTATCATTCTATTCTGGGGAAATTATCAAGAAATTTATCTTCAGAATCTTTCAGTCACAAAAAGAAGAAATTACTATGAGAAGCATTACAAATTCTATGAAATGACCAGAGTTTTAGGAAAGAGGTTATGTTTAAACAAATTAAAGCCTTCCGTAGTCTCCAAAGTCTATAGGTGTATAGGTGTGTGTGTGTGTGTGTGTGTGTGTGTGTGTGTGTGAGTGTGTGCGCACCTTCTGAGTTCATACTTTACTATGTTTGGTTTGGCAGCTGATGGATCATCTGAAGGCTGGGATTGAAGATGTATGTGGGCAATGGAGTCACTACCAAGTGAGAGACAAGTAAGTAGGCTAGGGTTTCATTGCCTAATAACGGCTTCTAGAGGATGACGCCTTGAGGTAAAGGGAGCCAGGAAGATGGAGGACCCAGAATTTACTATACGAGAAACAGCTGGGTGTACCTAGCATGGAAGATGGGAGGTGTCAGGAGGAAGCTGTAGAGGTGGGGCAGGTTGCTTTGTAGAGGACTAGCACAGGCAGTAAACGGAAAGTAGGAAGTCATATTTAAGTTGGAAACAAAGACAGTGCCCGTCCCCTTACAACAGTAGCTCAACCATGCGATACTCAAGTTCATTTAATTGGGGATGAGTTTAGTGACTCTTTAAGGGCCCTAAGAAACTCTACTTGGAAACCTCTAAAATTCATTCATAAATAGCAATTCTTCTGAAACGCCTAAGCCTTTTTGCTCACCACATCCCACATTTCTGAATGGATTCTTTTATTCTCAAACTGGAGAAATGTGGCTGGAGACAGATGGTAAGTCATCGGCAAGTAGTTAGCAGCTACATTATGGGCATATGTGAGATTTTTATCAAAGATGTGAGGACAAACTGAACAGAGGACTCAGAACTCTCGATCTGATGGAGCTGATGAGGAAAGGGAGGAGCAGATGAAGTCAGGGAGAAGCCAATAGAGAGGATGGGAGGGAGGCAGGAGAGAGCCAACACGGGAGGAATGACCTGGCACATCAACAGACCTAAGTGGTTAACGAGGTCAGGGCAATGGCAGTCACAGGAGCTGGCAAGTACAAGGTCAAGACGGACACAGAAGAGAAATGTCAAGTGCATTGTGAAGACAGGTTTAGGGCAGGGGGAGCATTACAGAGCATTGAGGCGGAATCATATAGCATATCATGACCAAGCACAGATGGTCAAGGAGTGACCTCCTTGTAAAGAACTTATGGGTCTAAGCTAAAAGGATGACAACGCTCTGGAGGTCAGTCTTCCATACACAGAGAGGACTTAACTGATGGTGTCTGTTGACCTTACGGTCCAGGGAATTAAACACTAAACAATGAGCCAGCATTCCAGGAAGCTGTGTTTCCCTACCAAAAAAACCAAAGCAGGCAGAAAACTCCTCTTTGAATGTGAAATGATTAGAAGCATTGAAAATTGCGACTCTAGACAAGCTCCCAAGGCATCACTGCAAGTGTATAGCTTAGACTAAGGGGTTGACCAGATGTTTACAACAGTAGTCAGCTAACTCTCCTTTATTCAGATTGCTGAGATGTTTGATGGGGGTAGTGGGTAGTTCTTTTCCTTAGTTGGCAAGATTCAAAGTGATCTGCAACACAATGAGGCAAAACTGCTCTAATTGGCAGTCAATTCAAAGTTGCAGGGTTCTGGCTAAACCTACTGAAAGAGAAGCAGCTGTTGTTAGGAGCCTTTAGTAGACAAAGCTTATTTAAAAGCCTCAGCCACTTCAATTCTTGTCTTACAGTTAGAACTGAGTAGGGCCATTCCCCCACCTCTTGTGCACACTTTCTGCCCTGATTGCACCTTGTCCCTTTCTTTTTGTTTAGGTGATTTCATTGTATCCAGGCCACTAGGCCATTCTTTTTTGTTTAAATGCATAAATACTATGATTTTTTTTAAAAGAGAAAACGTGTTCGAATGTGATGAATTTAAGGCACTTGACATTTTTCAGAATGGAATTTCAGTTGTCAGTTGTTTAGAGACAAATCTGTACTTCCACAATACACATGGAGATGTTGGTTTTAATGTTTAGGTTCAAGAAGTTTGATCATAGATACTTACGGAAAATTCTAATCCGGAGGAACCTGCCGAAGTCAAGCATCGTTTCTTTGTATAAGAAGCTTGAGATGAAGCAGGCCATCGAGATGGTAGAGACGGGGATACTGACCTCTGCTGCTCTCCCCACACCCTATCAGTGAGTTCCATCTGCCTTTTGATCTGGATCAGTGGTTCTCAACCTTCCTAACACTGCACCCCTTTAGTACTGTTCCTTACGTCATGGGGATCCCCAACTATAAAAATATTTCATTGTTACTTCGTAACTGCAATTTTGCTACCCTTATGAATTATAATGAAAACATCTGATATGTGACTCGCCAGGGGGTCGCCACCCACAGGTTGAGAACTGCTGGCTCAGACTTTCAATATCTGAATTTCAGGGTTAAGGCGTGGTTCCATTTGAGAAAAGTAGCAGAAGGGAGGAGGCGGAAAGAGGAGTGTGGCAGTTAACCTTCCTTACTGTAACAAATGCTTGGAAAGGGGAAAGGCTTATTTTGGCTCACACTAGGAGGCCAGTGGCTCAGTTCATGACTGGTGGATGGTTTTGGACCTGCAATGAGGTGGCATATTATGGTCACTGTGAGGGCAAAACATTCACCTCATGGAGAAGCTGGATGTTTCAATGTCTCACTCAACAGCAGGTCCTCAATGGCCTGAAACTCTCCCCTTTGATAATATCTCAGAAAGGTCCCCCATTTCCAACAGTGCCATGATCTGGGGACCAAACCATTATAACATGGGCTTTAGAGGAGGAGGGAATGATAAAATAACATCGTCTCGTTCTTGACATTTCATGCTTTGCTTCCAGCTTGACATGTTTCACCAGTTGGGGAAAGTACTTTTTAAACAAGTTGCCTTCTTTACGTGACTTGGCATCTTCTAGGCAAAGACGTAGAACGGCAGGAGATTTTATAGCATTTCTCTCCTACAAGCTCTGTTCCCTTGGTTCTGTTCCTTCGACTGTTGCATTTTGCGCGAGCTGTCTTTCTCTTCCTATCTTCCATTGGAAGAGGTGGTAGATGTCAGGGATACTGACTTGGATCTGGGAGATGAACCAGTCCTCCTGCATCACTACCATGGAATAGATGAAGCAGGCTACTTGTAAAAGTACAGGGAGGTTAGTTGGAGCTCAGAGGTCTGGAGGTTCAAATCTAAGGTCAAGTCTATGGTTCTTTGATGACAACAGAGTGAAAGAGGCTTGTAACCCAGTGAAGGTGGATGTTCTTAATCAAGGGGGGAAAGGAAGGATTAAAATGAGTCCCGGAATCCCCTTTGAGATCACACTTCCGATGACTTAAAAGCTTCTCACTAGGGCACACCATTTAAAGGCCTGCAGAGACCTCCCAAGACTGCCACCCTAGAGACCAAGCTTTTACACATGGACCTTTGAGGACTTCACCTAAATGGAGGCAGGGAGGAGACGAGGTGGTAGGAAGAGGTGTGGCAGCTGACGGCCTTTTAAAGTTAAAGAGGTGTTTGCGATAGAATGAGTCTGTGTGTGAGCTTTGTCTGAAATTTGTGAGACCAGCTTGGAGCACGACCAGAAAGTTGACTGGCTTTCAGGTGAAAAGGAGAACATACAGATTCGGTGTGAAGGCAAGGCAGTGGGACAGGCCTTATTTGCTGAGTGTCTTCCACCACCTCGTAACCAATTGTCCCCAGAGCTGGATAGATATTTCTAAAAACTCTTTTAATCGTCAGACATGTTACAAAAGCTCCTTCAGTATTTCAAGAATTAACTCCCCAAGAAGCCCAGCTTTCTCCTAAGCAAAGTATAATTTGCAAAAATTAATGACAGCATGTATTTGGGGAAAGGACACGCCAGCCCCTCCATCCTGTCATCTTCGGATAATGACACCTGATCATGAGCTTCAATGATGTCGCCACATCAGGAAAGTGAGTTGAGAAAGGAGCTAAGAATAGGTACCAATGGGACTGTCACAAACCGGCTGAGTGTTATCTCATAGGTAACACCTTCCCCCCTCACCTGCTAATGAACCAGAAGCACCAGCACCTTCCTACAAGGCCAGAGAGGAGGTAAACAAGTGTCCCCGAAGGCACCTGGCCTAAACAGAAAGCTCTGTGCCTTCTCTATCCTTGGGATTGTTTCCCGTGGTTTGTTTGTTTGTGTTGTGCTGGCCATTATGTAACTAAAAGGAGACGCCTGCTGCTAAAATGGGAATTGTGCTAACAAATATTTACTGGTAGTGCTGTCCAGAGCCGCAGTGGAGCTGGGGGTGACTGGACAAATTGGGCATGCTGATTCTGCTCTCCTTGGACATTTTCTTGTTTTATCCATCGAAGTTTCTCTCTTTGCGTTCATTTCACTTTCTAAGATAACACACTCCGATCTTCCCTTTGTCCAAAGTTTCTGGCTGTCCCTTACATCTTGTGTGTTACTTAGGTCATGTCCTGCTTGTGAGGCCCCTAGCATGTGTGCTAAATGCTGTGAAGCTGCCCTTCTAGGTATGGCGTGGACACGGCATGCCATTAATATACAAGATCGCACAGTGCAGTCTAATACAGAGTAGGAATGGATGTGACTGTAGAAGGGTGTCTCGTGTGGTCTCCTGCTGTGTGGCCTACTCATCAAAGGAGGAACTGCAGTTACTGCAGAGGCAGAGGAGGGCTGGACAGTTCCAGACAGACCAAACCACTAGAAACTTCCTCCATGAGTTTGCTTGCCACTTGTGTGAGCACTTTGTCTAGGAATGCCAGGGTGCTTTTCTCTTATCTCAGACTAGGATCTCATCTATGTTTCAGTCTGTTGGGCTAAAACGTATTTTTAACGTCTGTATAACATCACAATGTATCAGCCGTAAGCAACTGCTTCAAATCCAACCACTAGGGAGTTTTTAAACCAGTTTTATTTGGCACGCTCCCCTGCTCCCTTTGAGTCAATCATTTCTTCAGACAATGATCCAAGATTCTTAAGAGTGTTACAGGTAAGAGTTCTTTCCACCTCATATAGCCCAATCAAATAAGTTAACTGAAGTGGGAGAGATTTTGTTAACGTCAGTGGTCAGTTTAATTTTAGTATTTAACTTACATTCATTTGATCTCAGTAGAAGTCTGTAGGGCACCAAGAAAAAAGGAATTCCTCTCCTGAGATCAAAGTGGGCCAGTTTCTAAAACAAAAAACAAAACACAAACCAAACCTTCATACAATAATAGGAAAAAGACCCGTGTACTCAGGCGCCTCTCAGGATTCAGCATGGGATGAATTCAGCCACATACACATATAGTTTTTTCTTTATGACTTTAAGCAGTCGTTAGACACAATAGTCTAATTTCCAAGCTCTTGGACCTTCAGGAGAAAGCTACTGTCTGGGCTGACTCTGGTACAGCTCGGAGCACGTTGGTTCTGTGGAATTCCACCGCTATCATCATGGTATAATATTTCACGGTAGTACTTATTCGAATCCCCAACCCACCCTATGGGAGAGCTGGAATAGGCATTTCTCGTGTTACTTCCAATGTAGATCTGCTCCTCCCACACAGGACGGGTAATCTGTTGGAGGTTATGAAAGGCCACTGGCTCAGAGTGATAAGGGCTGCAAAGAAGCTTATGGGTTTGTGTGAGTGCTCCCTCTGTTAAGCCTGACAACTTGAGTTTGATACCCTGGACCCACGTGGTGGAAGAAATGAACCACCTCTTACAAGTCGTCCCTCAGCTCTCATGTGCACTGTTGCACTTGTACACCAACACACGAATCCACACACATGAAGCACGATTAGCAAAAACTCAGGCTCAGAAATTGGAGTTCAGCCTGAAGATCCAAAAAGCAAAACAGCCAGCCGCTGGCTCTTACTTCGACCTCAGTCTGAAAGGGCAATCCTGCCTCCTGGAATCTCAGAATGAGACTGCATCTGAGAGCTGTCTTCCCTGTCTTATACTCCTCTCTAGGGCTGGGATTAAAGGCATGCACCAGTGTCATTAAAGGCATGCACCACCCGGTTTCTATGGCAACTAGTATGCTGCTGGTATTAAAGGTGTGTGTCATTGTGGCTACTGAGATTAAAGGTGTGTGTTACCATAACCTGGTCTGTAAGGCTGAGCAGAGGGACTGTTTTACTCTCAGATCTCCAGACAGTTTTTATTTATTAAAATACAGCTGAAACGCCACTACACACATACATGACAGCTAAGTAAACATAAAACAGTTTTCTTCTTACAATTTTGTTAGGACTGAAGATATATCTCAGTTACTATAGTGCCTGCCTGGCATACATGAGGCGCTGAGTTTGATTCCCAGCATCCACTGGGTGTGGTGATGGAGCTTGTCATCTTTGCACTTGGGAACTGGAGGTAGAAAGAGAATAAGTTCAAAGCCAGCTGAGCTTCTCAAAATCTTACCTCAGATAAGTAGACTAATTTTATAGAGATTAGTGTTACAGGTATTAAAACGACTATGAATAACTAGTTACAATTCTGTCATCTCAAATCATTTTATTTCTAAACTCTCAAGCGTTTGAGTGTGTCATGTTCTTTTTAAAAATTATGTGTCTGTATGCAGTCCTGTGTGCCTGAGGGCAGGTGCCATGGAGACCAGAGGCCTCTGATCCCCTTGGAGTTAATGTGAGGGCTGGGAGCTGTACTAAGTTCTCTTGAAAAAGTAGTATGTTCTCTTAACTGCCAAGTCCCTACTCCAGTCCCTTGGTTTGTTTGTTTGTTTTGATATTTAGGTAAATTTATTGTAATTCAAGAATTATTTTAATCAATTTCACATTGGTGGGATTAAGATCTTAAATTTACTTTCTGACAGGAGACTGTGGGATATAGTTTCTGATGTAAATTCCATGACGGAATGTTGTGTGTCCTGTAAACCATACTTCGCTCATGTAGATATGTACATCTAAATGGCCTTTGAAAAAGATGCAAGACAGCTAGTCAAACAGACAGGATAACTGGTGGGGAATACTGCATGCAGCCATGTAGACAGAGTAACTGATTGGGAGTACTGTATGCAGCCATGTAGACAGAGTAACTTATGGGGAATACTGCA